CACCAAAAGGGAAACTCTGGGACCCGCCGAGCGCCGCAGCCAAAACCAAGAGAAGCTCTTTCAAGTCTGCACCAAAACCACCAAAACGGGACTTTTTTACCCCAAACACAGGGAGCCCACAGACTCCTCAGATAGAACTCGGCGTCTCACACCGCATTGCTCGTTTATTTGCTGCTCATACAGTCGTGAAGCCCACATACAAAGACCATACATGTTTTATTTCGGTTCGATTTTTTTTTTTCTCTCTTTTTTTTTTTCTCTCTAGGGACAAAACGTACACAAAAGGGCAAGGGCAAAAAAAAAAAAACCAAAATAATAAAATAGAACATAAAACCAACCACATCATTACAGTTTTATACAGTGCAGAAAGGAATTAAAATAGGTGACACCGAACTGTACAAAGTCAGGGCAAAAAAAAAAAAAAAAAAAAAGATGGGGAACAGAGGGGGATAATCCTTCATTATATATATATTTCTATAAAAACATATGGAGGATTGTCTTTACACAGAGACCGGGGTCGGTTTAAAATTTACAGAGGTTAACTAAAAAAAAAAAAAAAAATAACAACAACAACAAAACCCAACATCTATATGGCAAATATTGCCAACAGAGCTCCACCGCTTTAATACTGATCAACTGAGACTCCTCGTGTCTCCATTATTAGCAACAACGACGACGACAATGTAGAATAAATAACAGAAGGAGCGTGGCTGTCTCTTTTCAAAGTGCCTTATTCTCTCTGCATAGGGTCCGGTCCTGCAGTCTTTACGCAGGTTAAAAACAAAAGAAAAAAAGAAAAAAGAAAAAGAAAGGAAAAAAAAATGGCTTAAAAAATAAAATAAAATAAATGTGATCCCTCTGAGAGATTTAAAAAAAAAAAAAAAAAATTAAAAAGAAATTATTTTCAGGAGTAAGGGCTCGATGGAAGCGAAGGGCCGGAGCAGCGCTGCTCTGTGTGCTCGGGGTGCTCACAGCATCCCTCCGGCTCTACCCCTGATGGATGGGGCTGTGGCATCGCTCTCATTTAGAGAATTCATTTAGAACATTTCGTTTGCAATTTCTTTTCTCTTTTCAAGGATATAACCCAAAAACCTCACGTAGCAAACCTTTCAACCCAAACTCGCAGTCGGAGATTTCAAGATAAGGGGCAGCGGAAGGTTTCGGGGGGCTGCTTTTCCCCCCCGTTCCTCTTCCCCTCTCTCTTCCAGCCTACCCCGACCCAAGAGAAGAAGAAGCAGAAGAAGGCAGAGAGCGTCTTTGATTAAAGACACGCGGTGGAGGCCGGCCCGGCCGATGCTCAGCTGCGGGGCTCGCTCAGCCCCGGGGCCGCCCGCATTCGGCCCCGCCGCGCTCAGCTGTCCGCTCCCCGGGGGTCCCATCTATAGGGACAAACTCAGTCTGCAGAACACCCCCCCACACACACACTCCTCTTTCCTCCTCCCACAGGGTCCTGGGTGGGAAGGGGGGTCGTTCCCCGGGTCAGACCTCGGCGGCCTCCGGGAGGTGATGGTGGCTTTTCCGCCCCGTCTCACATAACGCACGGCTTGATGTCCTGGTATGTCACTTGTTGGTGGTAATAGGAGCCGCTGCCCGCTGAATGCATGGAGGAGGAGGCCATAGCGTTGAAAGAGAAGACGAATTCCTTTCTGTCGCACATGCTCGGAGACTGGGAGTGATACCGCGGGATGCCTGCGGAACAGAGAGAGAAAACGGTCAGCCATCATCATTATATTTACCAAAAAAAAAAAAAAAAAAAGTCGAGAGTTGGGGAGGAGGAGATATCGGGAGGGGAGCACCGGGCCGCCCGCAAATCGAGGTTTTGTTGCACTCCCATCGCTCCTAGAAAATGCGGGCAGGTGCCGGAGAAAAGCCCGCAGCTCCGACCCCGCTCGGCCTAAGGACATTTCGTTTTGGTTTTGTTTTTCGTTTGTATTTGTATTTGTTGCGCCTGCGCGCAATTCCCGCAGGGTGCGGAGCGGAGTTATTCGGCCGCTCCCGAGCGGAGCCGGCGGCACAGATTGGGCGGAGGGGGCCGAAGCCTCTCATGGAAACCTCCTCCTCCCCCCTTATTTCCGCAGCCACTTCGGGACGGGAAAAAGGCCCCGAAAAATCAGGACCGCGTTCAGGAGGAGCCGCGCAAATTCGCGCCGGGCTCAGGAAAAGCCCCGTTCATTTTTGGGTGTTGATGCGAGACGTTTCGGGCGGGCCTGGGAGTTCCTTTAGGACTGATTTTTTGCTTAATTTCCCAGCGAAATTAGTGTGCTGATCTGCGGTTTATTGGCGGAATAGGGCCGAGGTGGAGGCGGCGGCTCCCGGCTGCATTCCGCTGCCCTCGGCCCGGTTCGGCCCTGCGCTGAGCTGCGCCTTTCCGCCCTGCCTTCGTGCTCCTTCCCCACTACCGTTCCGCTCGACACCGTTTCTACTGTTCTTTCTCTCTTTTAGAAAACCGGGGGCCAAACGCAGCGATCCTAAACTCTTCCCTTCCACGACCCCGAAGCGATGCGGAGCGCTCCCTGCATCCCGAGAGCCTCCCCGAGCCCCGAGGTGAGCTCGGGCCGTAGTACGAATCCCAGCTCCAAGCTCCCCGTCCCTCCACAGGCTCAGAGCCTGGAGGTCCGACTGCGGCCCGGACACATCCATCCCCCCGAGCAGCGGCACAGAAGAGCCGTAGGGAATGGGAACACCCCGCTTCGTATAGGCAGAGGGAGGCGAAGGGCCTGGAAAATACAAGCCTAAGAGGAGCGGATTGCTGCGGTGTGAGGCTGGAGGGACTGGGGGGATGGTTAAGGACACGGGCAACAGCCGCTCCCATAAGGAAAATCCCCCCTTCCCTCGGAGCCTCCTCGAAGAGCCCTGCGGTATCCTCTATCGATACCCTTTCCTCGTTGTTCCGCCACCTCATATTTGCTTTGAACCCCCAGGATCCGTCCCCGGCCTCCCCTTCCCGCACCCACCGACATAAGGAGCATCCACGCGGGACGCGGCAGCTCCCAGCCCCGCAACAACGACGGTGCGAACCGCCGCATCCTCCGGCAAAGAGTGAAAGGACCGCTGCTTCCCCTCGGGGAGAGCTGCTGTTAAACCGACCCCCGAAGCCGGTGGCCGCGGATTCCCCCCCGCTTCCATCCCCGCAGGGTTTTCTCGCACGCGTCCGCGCCTCACCTTGAAGCTCAGCGGTGTTGTGGCTGTTCTGATGCAAGTAGGGCTGATCGAGGGAATGCGTGGAAAGGCTGGAGGACAGCGGGTTGGCCGCGGGGTTGCAAGGCGACAGAGGCTGCTGCTTGATGTAGGAAGCTCCCGTGTTTAAGGCGGCCGAGGCGGAGGGAGCCCACGCAGAGGCCGAGCTGGAATAAACCGAGTGCGGTTCCATCACCCCTCCGCCGGGCAGCAGCGGGGAGGCGGGCACGGAGCTCTCGTGGTGCGGGTAATCCCCCGCCGAGGAACCGCTGCAGCTGCCCATGTAGGAGTGCCCGCCGTTGGAGGGCAGGTGGGGCACGGAGTGTCCCGCAAGGCCCATCCCGTCCACGTTGCCGGCTAAGTGGCCGTTCATCATGCCCAAGCCCCCTTCGAGGGAGAGGCTGTTGGGAGGGCAGGAGAGCCCTCCGGCCGATCCCTGGAAGCTGTAGCTGTCGGGGAGGTGGTTGAAGCTGAGCCCGTTCATCATGCTGTACATGGGCTTCAGCGCTTGGCATTTCCTCCTGAAGCCGCGGGGCCGGCGGCGGAACGAGCCCTCCTCGAACATGAACTCGCTGGCCGGGTCGATGGTCCAGTAGTGGCCCTTACCCGGGCGGCCCAACCCCTTGGGCAGCTTAATGAAGCACTCGTTGAGCGAGAGGTTGTGGCGAACGGAGTTTTTCCAGCCCTGGTAAGAACCGCGGAAGAAAGGGAAGCGGCTCTGTAAGAACTGATAGATCTCGCTGAGGGTCAGCCGTTTGGAGGGCGAGCTCTGGATGGCCATGACGATGAGAGCGATGTAGGAATAGGGCGGTTTCTCCGGCCGCCGGATCCCCGCGTTGGTTTTCTTCGCTTTAGGGCCGCCGCTGCCCGGGGCTCCGCCGCTGCCCGGAGCGCTGTTGCCGCCCGGCCCGGAGGGAGCGGCGGAGGCGGCGTCCATGGCCGAGTTTTGCGGCTGCTTCTCGGCCACGGAGGACATGGGGCCGTAGCTGCTGTGCACAGCGGGAGGAGGGGGCTGAGAGGACAGAGCCTGCTGCGCTTCTGCAGTCATCTACGGGCAGCTCCGCGGCGGCCAGCCCCGGCCCTCCTCCGCCACCCCCCCCACGCGCCCCCCCAAAAGGCCACCGCGCTGCTGGGGGCTCGCCGCGATCCCCCCCGACCCTCCTCCTCCTCCTCCTCCTCCTCCTTCTCCTCCTCTCGGCCCCCGGCAGGGTTTGTTTCCACCGGGAGCCTTCACCCCTCAGCGGATAAACAAATGGCAGCGACCCCCCCCCACCACCCCTTTCCCTCCTTCTCCTCCTCCTCCTCCTCCCACTTTATCCCTAAATCCGAGCCCGGCTGCAGAAGGGGGGCCGCGGGGGGAAAGCTGCCTTCGGCTGCCGCGAGGAAAAGCGGGCGGCCTCCTTCCGTCCCGCTCCGTGCTCCGGGACCGTCCGCGTCCCGCCGGGCCCCCCCACCTCTAATAGGGCCGGCGCTGCGGGGAGCTGCTTCCCATCGCGGTGGCTGTCGAGTCTGCCCCCGGCCCTCCGCTCGCCTTTTGCTTTATCTCTCTCCGCGGCGTCTGCCGCTCCTTTGACAGACGTAAGAACGGAGAGGAACTCCCCGCCCCGAGCGGCTCCCCCACGCCCTCCCGGGCGGCCCCCTCGGCCCTCCTGTCCCGGCCCCTCTCCGCAGCTCCGCAGCTTTTAAAGAGCCCTTTCCACGCAACGCTCCGCATCCTTGCCCACCCCCGGAGAGGGGG